AAAGGTGCCACAGGACCCTCTGTTGCTTTTTACAGATTCAGACTAACACGGCTACCCCTCTGATACTCGACATCATATTCCATGCGTATTTAAAATTATTATTTGAAGTTACTTTCCCAGACTTATCTTGTGGTTTATCAAAAATGCAGCAACTAGTAACCATGATTAATACCACACACATGAACGATGCATTTTAGATCCTAGCCCATTTGGACATGTAAATGCTTTGCCTGTGTCTGATTAACAATTTTATGTACTCATTAGTTAATACTTGTCACATCTACCATCTGGAATATACAACCTTAAATACTCCAATACCTTACCTATAGGTTTCACTCAACATCTATTTTAAGATTTTTCTTAGAGGAGATTTTGAAGTTGCGTAAATATAATTCGCTACAAACAGCTTTTTGTACAATTCACTACATTGTCTGTCTAGTGTAAAGATTCTGGGAAAACAAAGGGCCCAATCCTGCAAGCACTTACTCCTGGGCGTAGTATGTACTACACTGAGTCGTCCCTTTGAAGTTACTAGGACGACTCACCGTAGTAAGTACTACCACACTTAGGAGTGAGCATTTGCAGATAGGACCATTAAATGTGAAAGGAAACTTCCAAGAAACCTAAAGACTGATATCAATCTTCCTTCTAGGGTCACACTTCTGCCTACAGAAAATGCTAGGGTCCTCATCACAGTGTACAATGGGAAAGGAATCAGTGTTTTAGAATCCTGTTTCCTTGCAGCTCTTTCCCCTGGTGTTGTAATTCATCACAAACTCTTGAGGCAAGGATCGAGTCTACCTCTATATTAGTACCGCAACCAGCACTAAGGGGCCTGATCCTGACTGGAGCCTTTGGGCACTATAGTAATATAAATATTAAATAATAAGAATTTCATAAGCTATGCAAAGTTGGATTAGGTCAAGACTTGAATCAGGAACCCAGGCACTGCGGGAAACGGAGTTGCCAATTCAGCAAGTGGAGCTGTTCCTTCAGAATCAGTAGCTGAGTCTGCTGTGAAACCTAACAGAAATTTGACAATAGTTGAGGCTGCTGGCCTGCCGAGCCCACAGCCTGTCATGCTGACCAATCTTGCCTCATGGTTTCCTTGTATTCTCCCCTAGGTCGGTGTGTCTCCATCTGTTGTCTCTTCTCTTATGCTGAGATTCTAAGCATTTGGGGACAGGGGCTATCATTTTCTTCTGTGTTCGCATAGCACCTAGCACCAAAGGCTTCTGGTCCATGACTGGAGCTCCTAGGTGATTCTATACTACAAATAATAATATCTGGTCCAACATGCCAGCATGATGCCAGTGGTACTGTGCCGCTGTCTTTCAGATGAGAGACACAGCCAAGGTCCTGACCTCTTGTGGCAATCAGAGATCCCTTGTTTGTTTGGGTTGGTTTGTTTTGATAAATCAGATATTTACCCTGGTGTCCTGCCCACATTTCATACAGAGCGGTTACACTGCTCCTGTCTGAATTCCATATGTTTTCACTTCGTCCTAAACTGCTCTGCACATGTAAAAAAAACGGTCCCACCATAGCAGTGGATGCATTTCAGTGAACTGCAGACCCTTTACCTAGCTTGAAAAGCACTTTGAGATCCAGCTGAAGGGAGCTACAGAAGTGCAAGGTTTTATTCAGCAACCTTGGGGGCTTTAAACCAACCAAGTAGTATTCATTTAAAAGCCCCCCCCACCCCACCCCACCGCTAGACCACTTGTGCTGTATCCGTGTGTCATGGTGATTCTGTCTTTACCAACAGGGGGAAGAGAACATCAGAGGAGGCTGGGTTAGAAGAGAAAAAAAAATCTATTACTTTTCTAATCACTATAAAAAACCCCAACCCATGCTAATCGTCCCACACCTACGCCCCCAGTCTGCACTGTGAACCACACCAGCAGCCCCCTACTGAAATTAGCGGGGGGGTCTGCGAAGAGGTTACTCAGGCAGCACAAGCAGACGATTGGGGCTTTAGTCAGCATCATCACGCTTAACTGGGAGAATTTAAAAGTACCAGAGGACAGACATGGACGACGTGGAGCAAGTCTGCAGTTTAGGTTTGCTGTCACAAGGGTAAATGACAGTTGGATCCCCACCCCAGAGCATGCACGTCACTGGACAACTGTCTCTGTATGTTACTGCAGGTTGAGGGAACAGTGTTCTGCTACGGTGTGACAAATAACGTGTTCCTAAGGCAACTTTTTATACCTATTGGGCCAGATTCCCTCCTGCACCAAGATCCACCCTCTCCAGCAGGCAGCCAATACAACTGGCCAGTGTAAAATGAGTTGGGAGAGGGCTCAGCCTAGTTCCCAGGGCACAGCTGTTTGCATAATAAAAACCACCTCCACAACTGGCACTGACAAGCAACCGTATTAGCAAATGCACCAGAGGAGAGAAAGACCGAACTGCTCCCTCACCTAACTTGAGCTGGTAACTCAGAGGTGAAGGGCTGCACGTCCTTGAAGGAACAACAGAAGCCTGCTGGGTGGAGCATCTCGGAAATTACAGAATAATTTCCTCTGCATAGGCATCAGTCGCCTCAGCAGAATATGGGGAAATTGTGTGCGACAGATATGGCAGCTCCTGCTACATCCTTGGGAGACTTTACTGAATTAAGTTTAAGTATCTTTGGGGTCCACTGTATTAATTGCACGGTTTATGTTCGACTGTGTCCCACTCCATGGGGGAGGGCTGCCACAGCTCCTCCAGGAACCAAAACCATGGATGGTGCTGAAGGCGTGTACTCAGTCCAACTGGATTCTCCAGAGACCAAAGGACAAAGAAAGAATTTTTGGATAAACAGCCGGAGTTTAAACTGCCTTGGGGCTCTTCTTCCTGATCCAGCAAACACACAGGACTTTCTGCCCAAGGGGGCCACAACTCTTGCGGAAGGGTTGGAAAGGCTTTGCTGTTACCGTAGCATTAGAAGGAGCTGTGTGGTCACTTGTAAACTGCAAGCAATACACTGGTCCTAGCCCTCGAAGACAAAGCAAGGACTGGCCATTTTCAGCAGTCTGGCTTGCTGGGAATATCACAGTGAAAGGCAGGGAGCTGTACAGCCTTAAAACCCCCTGGTCAGGAGGGAGAGAGAGGTGGGTCTCTGCCCCAGAGAGGTGACAATCACCATCACCATGCCGGTCAGGTGGTCAGAGGTATATTACTACTGCTATACTCTTATTATTCAAGCACAGAATTTTTAGCCATAGAGATTCTATGGTACAGTTTGGGTCATTTAAGTCACAGTGAAGGATCAACCCTCTAATTTCTCAGTACAACGAGCCACAGCTTGATCACAATGTTGGCATCGCATTGTGACTAGGATACTAAGAAGTCGTAACCCCTTGGAAACACAGCTGTCTATTACCGTAGCATCTTGAAATACAACGTCAAGAGTAATTCTAAGTGCTGTTCCGTTGCCTGGGAGGTTAAGTGCTTTACCTGATGTGCACAGCGCCTGGGAGGAGGATTTGGGATATCTACTTTACTCCAGCTGTTCTTCCGGATGTTGTAAATGTACAGTTCATTATACAGGAACGTCTGTGGGAGGGAAAAGGAAAATGGGTACCACCAGAGCTCGCCATTTAACTTTACCTAACAGAAGCGTGTCAAATTCTCAACCTGCCTCTACCAGACACTGAAGGAATGCAACAGTCCTTTTCTATTAAGCAAGAACAAGACAAGACCAGCCTGCTGGGTCCATGGCGTCACTCTGCTCTCATGCGAGGGGATCAGAGTGCCATAGGCAGGATTGGGTTTATGGCTTGCGGGGCCCTATGCAAAGCAATACGCGTATGGAACCATCCTGTTCCCACCCCATTGGTGAGACGGTCCACCCACCATCTCCCTGCCTGCCGTCACCTCAGACGGCAAAGAGCCTCCACCAGCAGTCGGAGGCTCTGTTGTCACTGCTGACCTACACACAGCTTACATGGGCCAAGAAGCCAGGAGGTGCGGATGAGGAACAGCTTTCTAAGCCAAGGACGCTACTTGGGGAAGTCAGGCTGCAGCGCAACCTGATGGTGCCTGGGTAAAATGATACCACTGTGGGGAAAATCAGGGATGGCTCCCTGGCTGGTGGATTGGGTGCGTGTTTGAGATGTGAAGCTCCTGAAAGATGGAGCCCAACACAGCTGCACAGCCTAAGGCTGCCCATGATAAGGGGTCAACAAACATGGGGACAAGGGTGATCCAGTGGGTAGATCCACTTGGACTTCCAGCAAGCTTTTGACAAGGTGCCTCACCCAAGGCTCTTATGCAAAGTAAGCAGTCCTGGGATAAGAGGGAAGGTTCTCCCATGGATCTGTAACCAGTTAAAAGATAGAAAACAAAGGGGAGGAATAAATGGTCAGTTTTCAGAATGAAGAGAGGTAAATAGTGGTGTCCCCCGGAGGTCTGTACTGGGACCAGTGCTGTTCAACATATTCATAAATGATCTGGAAAAAGGGGTAAACAGTGAGGTGGCAAAATTTGCAGATGATACACAATTACTCAAGATAGTTAAGTCCAAAGCAAACTGAAAAGAGTTACAAAGGAATCTCACAGAACTGGGTGACTAGGCAACAAAATGGCAGATGAAATTCAATGTTGATAAATGCAAGGTAATGCACTCTGGAAAACATAATCGCAACTATACATACAAAACGATGGGATCTAAATTAGCTGTTACTGCTCACGAAGGAGATCTTGGAGTCATTGTGAATAATTCTCTGAAAACATCCACTCAATGTGCAGCAGCAGGCAAAAAAACTAACCAAATGTTAGGAACCATTAGGAAAGGGATAGCTAATAAGACAAAAAATATCCTAATGCCTTTATATAAATCCCTGGAACGCCCACACCTTGAATACTGTGTGGAGATCTGGTCGCCACATCTCTAAAAAGATATATTAGAATTGGAAAAGGTACAGAGAAGGGCAACAAAAATATTAGGGGTATGGAACAGCTTCCATATGAGGAGTGATTAAAAAAACTGGGACTTTTCAGCTTGGAAAAGAGAAGACTAAGAGGGGATATGATAGAGGTCTTTAAAATCTTGATTGGTGTCGAGAAAAATAAAAAAGGAAGTGTTATTTACTCCTTCACATAACACAAGAACTAGGGGTCACCCAATGAAATTAATAGGCAGCAGGTTTAAAACAAAGATAAGGAAGTATTTCTTCACACAACGCACAGTCAACCTGTATAACTCATTGTCAGAGGATGTTGTGAAGCCCAAAACTATCACAGGGTTCAAAAAAGAACTAGATAAGTTCCTGGAGGATAGGTCCATCAATGGCTATTAGCCAGGATGGGCAGAGAGGGAGCACCATGCTCTGGGTGTCCCTGGATCTCTGATTACTAGAAGCTGGGAGTGGATGACAGGGGATGAATCACTCATTATTTGCCCTGTTCTGTTCATTCCCTCTGAAGCATCTGGCACAGGCCACTGTCGGAAGACAGGGTACTGGGCTAGAGCGATCTTTGGTCTCACCCAGTATGGCCGTTCTGATGAGTACTATAAAGGCGGTGCTCAGCTAGGATAGACTGAAAACAAAGGGAAATGACTGACACGAGTGGAACTTGTTAACAGCCAGCGCAGGCTAGGGTAGTGCTGAATCAAAGCCCGATGACTATAAACAGACTTGAGCTTTCAGGAATCACAAGGAGCTTCCCGCCTCCAGGAATATGGTGAATCAGTGCAAGATTTGCAGGCAGAAGCTGTTGAGGGATCACCAGTGCTTACCCCTTCTGGGCTAACAGAAGCATCTCACTTTCATGGTGGGGCAAACACACAGTACAACAGGAACCAAAGACGCGGGGCAAATATGGTCCATATCAAGTCTAGAGAAATGATGATGCCCTGCAATATTGATGCTTGTGCAATCACTCTGACCCCTTACTGGACCCCAGTGCTCCTTGATCCTGCTGACACAGCTGAGCTCAGGTGTGAGACAGTATTAGCATGGAATTAAAGGCTATTTTGCTCTCATTCTGGGAAAAATGCATATTTTATGACCTCCGCTTTGAATTTTTGCTCCAGATGAAACCCATACAAATTACAGTCAAGGCAATGGGGAGGGAGGGGAAGGATAGATAAATGGAAGAATACTTTACTTTTTGGCCATTGAAATATTCACCTCCAAAAAGGATCAATTCGTCTCTCTCGGGATGAGCAGACAAGGAGGCATTCAGCCTGCGTCAGAAAGAGAGATGGGCAGACATCAGCACATAACAGAACCATTTGTAACTCAGCTTGGAGGCTACTCACTACAGGTCTGGATGCATAATTTAACAAGTGCTAGCACTTCTCCCCTCCAGGCCGAAGTGCCTCTCCATCACCCCCACAGCTACAAGTTTCTGATATCTTTTTTTTTATTTCCAAACCAAAAACTTTCTGAAGAAATTAACTTTTTGGAAACTTCCAGAAAGGCTAATCTGAAATCCTCTCCTATTTTAGGAACACACATTACATTGTCATTAACCACGGCCTTTGACATGATTTTAATTTTAATGCTGATGGATAAGGAGCAAAGATTAGCTTTGTCATGGCACACAGCTATGACTCTAATTGGACTGTCTCACTTTAAGTTATCTGCATCATTCTTCCACAGATACCGCTGTTCGCTTAAGGTTCCCCCACCCCCTGTATGTAACAGGAGTTGACAGCATCTAGCTCTTCACGGGATCAGACCTCAAAGAAGCTCATTGTTAACTGATCATCCCAACATCTTTGTGAGGTAGGCGAGTATCGTTACCTCCTCCTTACAGAGGGGAAACACTTACAGAAAGGTCAACTGTTGTTCAAGACATTGAATCAGTGGCAGCTACAGGACTAGAACTTTGCAGTGCCAGGATACCGGTCCTGTGCTCCGGCCACTAGCCCACTGTATCTTGTATCTCACAAGGCATTCTCCTAACAATTTTACCGGTAGCGTGCCCTCAGCTTTCCAGCCCAAGTCACAAGGTTCCCCTTCATTCATCTATGTTATACCGCCCAAAGCCCTCAGATCGAACCACCAGCTTTGATAAGATTCCCCACTTTGGCTCTTTTTAGCAGGCTGAAGGGAAGATTAAAAAGTAGCTGTTAGCAGAGAGGCGTTGCTGGTTCCTTTGATGCTCTGAGGACGGAATGCCCTATACATTTTTATCCTTCCATAAAAGCATTTTAGCCTGATACTACATCCTCCACTCTCAGGATATAACTTAAACACGTTTCATTGATACCACCACTTGCTGGATAACAACAGTCAAGGTTCCAGGTGATCTCTTACCTTGGTGAGGGTGGGGGACAGGCTGTCTCAATTATCTGGGTCTTTTTAGCATCTAATGTCTGGAATTCTGCTATCAGGGCTTCAAGATCCTCCTGAAAGTAAACAGCCAGTCAGGCATATTGTCATCCACATACCATGAAAACCTACACTAGCCACTAGTTCGATTTTCCTATTTTCCTTAAATTTGATTAGATTCATCTCATTAAACTATGAGTTATCAAGGTTATATATTTTTTCATCCTACACTAAGGGCTGGTCTCCACTACTGTATATTTCTGAATTTGTAAGCAGGTTGTAACACAATGCCATGGTTCGTGCACAGTTCCTACCCCTACCGAGGTGTTTCACCTTTGCTGGTGAGCAATTCTGTAGCACAACTGGTAGTTGAAACCCAAGTCTTAGCATAGGGCAGCTGTTTCAGCATTTGTCTAACTGATGTGCAAATATAATCAGACAGATGTTAAAACCCACTGTTGTTCTTTCTTGGCCTGACTCCTGTGCAAGTACAAAGATAAATGTGTTTTCTATTTCAAATTTATACTTCATCTGGAGAGACAACTTCATGTGTTATCTTTTATTCTCCTTCAGTTTCTGTAAATTAAAAAACAGAACACACACAACCTCAAAGCCCCCGAATTATGCAAGAGTCAAAGAAAATCTCTTCCCCACTCCCTCTTTAGATAAGAGTTGGAAAGTTATAACCATCCATGTGTCCTAACAGTACGAGGACTGTTCATTCTTTCTTGGTCCAACTTTCTTTTTTGGCTATACTTGCGATCGCTGGGTAAGACACTTGAATCAATTAGTTTAAACTTTCTCATTCTGCAGCAGCAGGGGGGCTGGGAGTAAAGGGACACTGTCTCAGGTCAAATTAATTTTTTTTTTAAATAGGATTTGTCAAATTGATTTTTTTTTTTAAGAGCAATAGAAATGTTTCTAGGATTTTTAAAGCTCACGGAATCATACAAATTGGAGATGGGGAAAATGAAAGATTGTTCCCTACAGTAAATTTTCTAGCTTTCATCCAATTAGGTTTAAATGTCTCAAAGCAACGGGGTTTACACTAGCTTCCTTGAGAAAGCAGTCCACAGCCTAATAGATCGGTCAGTATGTTATTCCAAATGTCCGGTCTTAATTTCATTCTACTAGTTCCCGTTTGCCCCACCCCTTCTGCGGGGCTCAATTATGCCAGGTGCTGAGCCCTCTAGCCCAGTCCAGGCTATAAGTTTTAGTTTATTAGTACAGCATTTTTTGAATTAACAATTATACTCAACAGAATAGGTACACATTTTCAAACTGTCACAGTATGAAAGCTATGAAGCAGAGATTCAACCCTTCTCCTGTCATACAAATTACACTTCTAACACCGCCCCCCCCCCATAAAACAATAAACAAAAATGAAATTATAAAAGTTGAGAATCACTTGATCTAGCTCAACCATAAATAAAATAGATTTCACACAATCCCTTTCTTGTTTTTGCCACCAACCAGGCCAATAAGTCTGAAACATTACCACTACAGAATAAAGATTCTACGTTTTGAGCCAATGAGGGTCAAGATTTGAGACTGCCATTTGAGAAATTATACAAATACTAGGTAAAGTGGCAAATCTTCAACTTGGGCAATCTTCAGTCTGGCCAGACCCACATGGGGAAAGCCACCTGTACCTCTCAATACCAGCATACCTCCCTTCCAAATAAGCCAACTGCATTGTTTGAAAAGGGAGGGTTGTCTAGTGAAACACTTCAACACATGCTTAACTTTCAAGAGAAACGTTCCCCTTAGGCATAGCTTGTGACGCTCACGTTATAGGGAACAGAGCCCAGACAGAATGAGAATAAATGCGACGGCTCTGTTTTGAATTTCACTTCTATGTGTTGCTTTGTAATTCAGAGAAATCCCTGGGGAGGATGAATATATATTGCATCTGCAAGCCCAAGGGTGAAGAGTCTCACACACACACACACACACACACACACACACACACGACGGGCGGGATGAGACTGGCAGGAGTGAGCTCTTCAGAAAAAAGCAGCTCTAATTAAACAGCATGTGGGAGGGAAGTCTTTTAGTTAGTCAAGACCAGGAGCTCTGGCACAGGGTGAGTTTGGGTTGGCGACACTCTGTTGGGTGGGGGAATCAGTCCCCTGGTCCCTGACCTGCCCCAGCAGCACCACTCACCTCCTCCTTCTTAGCTCTCTTGGAGACTTTTTTTCTCCATCTTAGCAGCTGTTTTCTCTGCCCCTTTCACCTTCTTCTCCTTCTTGCTTTTCTTACCCATGTTTTCAGCCTGGGTTACTGCAGGGGGCACTTCCCAGAGCCCCCCAGCCAGTCTGCCCTGGGCACCCTGCTCCTGCAGAGCTCACATGGGGCAGCAGCCCAGCTGAGGACAATCACTTCCTAGGCAGTCAGGGGTGATTTCCTGCCTGGGGTGGAAAGGAAGGAGCTGGCCAAGTGCTGTTGTGAATGCCATCTGCTGGGCTGGATGGCTTCTCACACCAGTTTGCTGCCTTGCAGGTAGCAGAGCAAAGGCCTGGTGCAGCTGGGCTAGGAACAGGCTTTGCTTCCTGTCCCAAAGGGAGAGGGACAAGGCCATCCCCAACTTAAGGCTTGTGCAAAGTACAGCACCCCATATTTAGGGGGGTCACTTTGAGCACGCCCGAAGGCACCCAGCGGTTCACCCACTGTGAGCCTGCTTTGACCAGTGCCCAAATTATCAGAAAAAAGTCGGAGGGCCCTGAATGTCAAGTGGCTTACTTTAATTTAAACAGTAGTGAGACAAAAGACAAAAGGCAGGTAGCCCCAAAAAGTAATAAGCCCCCCACCCCCCCAAAAAAAATTCCCCTGTAATTGAAGCCCTAGCTTTGAGCTCCAAGACCCCTGATCGCAAAAGTTTGCCCCAGGCACCCCAGTTGAGTGGGCCCCCAAACCAAGTGATGTTGTGACCTGGCACATGGGGGGCGGGGGTCGCAACACCACTCAGGTTTGCCCCTCCGTAGATGGAGGCGTGAACGGACCAAACCTGAGCGGCGCTGTGACCCACACTAGCCACTTGAAATGTTAGGAGGTGTGGTTTGCCAACCCCAACCATCCAGCAATGATGAGCCAGGCCTCAACAAATTATTAGACTTGCTTAACGATGATGAGATTTGATAAAAATAATAAATGTGGGGTTCTTTTCATTTGCCTTCCTGTTTCTTTAGGGGGCACTCAGGTCATGTTTTGAGCTGTTCTCTACAACCAGGAGGGCTAGAAACTCACTTTTTCTAAGCCAGTCTCATGATTTTGGGGACCTGACTTATGATTTTTGAAAACTTGGGGTTGGCGATACGCCAGTGCTTTATAAGTGTCACTTTGGTGATAAGGACCAACTAGTAATTATTAGGATTGCTATTAACTACGTAAGGTGCCACAAGTACTCCTGTTCTATTAACTACGTGTTTCACACTGATATTGAGCCCCCATTAGAATCTCGTCAAGCTGTAATTGGAAAAAGTGATCATTTTGACTTTGAGAGTATATTTTCTTAAATTCAACCGGTTTTGAACACTGTGAAAATCAGTTTGAGTTTAAATCCAAGGAGGCGTGATGTTCTTTTCATTAGGTTCCACTGTAAAATATGCTTGTGTAATTTTTTTTCACTTCCAGAAAAAAAGTAGAATTATTATATTTTCACTGAAAATAAATAAAAAAAAACTCTCCAAGAACGTGAGGCCAGGCTGCCTTCCACCAATGCCTAATTTATCTGTCTGCCAGTGTTTTTCCATAGTACCTATCAGTTAGATCTAAATGCTGACACAGCTAATAAGCTAAGTACTTAAGCCCATACCCTAGAAACTGCAGGATCATTCAGATTTTTTGAATATCTGTCTAACATCTGAATCTCAGCTTTTTCAAGATAATAAAAAAAAAAACAGAGTGAAAAGAGAACCGTAAAAATTCTTTAGCGCTGCAGACAATACACATCCTGCTAAACATATGTTTGGCTGGCAGTTTTGAAAATGCCAGGGTTATAATTAAGGCTAGAATGAGTCATCAATAAGTTTATACCAGGAAAGTGAACCGAGAACTTAGGAGAGTTTAGATGGAGTGAATGGGGCAAATCTTCAGCTGGCATAAAGGGTTATCGCTCCATTCAATAGCTCAGACACAATGACTTTTCTTTCTCTCAGAAAGAAACCCGTGGGTGAAATCTGGGCCCTACTGAAGTCAATGGGAGCTTTACCCCTCAATTCACTGCAGTCAGACTTTCACCTAATACATTTTAGGGAGATTTTTGAAGGGAAGAAAGGCTTGAGGTATTTAAATCTTTGAGGTTTGTAAGACAGGCAGCTGCCTCCCCAGAGCCCTCTTGTAGCCAGAGGTTGCTCTGCAGGCAACCAGCCTCGATTTCCCCTCTTAGGCCATTCAAAAACTTAACTTCAGGCTTTTTCTTGGTCAACAAAGCCCCTCTCCTTGGGGACTAGGCTTATTACTACAAAATAAATGGCAAATAAAACTCAATCACAAAACAAAGTCTGTTCCTAAGTCCCCACAACCCAATGTTTCTCTTCTTCCTCACAGGCCTTCCTGCCTGGGGCCCCTGCATTCTCTCCCTTGCTTGAACAGGGTCTCTACCAGGCCACCCTGCCTGGAGAGCTCTGCTCACTCTTTCCTACTTCTTTAGCTATTTCCCCTGTTAACTCAGGGCCCTGCAGAACCTTCTTATTCCCTACAATAGCTACAGCCATAGCTGAAGTTTCCTGGGTTTCCCCACTTCATCTCAACTACCTGCTCCTTTTGTACTGGGACCACCTGATTCCCCTCCGGATTCCCCTCCAGGGGGAACTATGGTGGGTCCCCCCTCCAGGGGGAACTAGTTTCCAGGTGCAAACTCTCCTATATCTGATATTGTGTTGTAAGTAAGACATGAGAAGTAATTCTTATGCTCTACTCCGTGCTGATTAGGCCTCAACTGGAGTACTGTGTCCAGTTCTGGGTGCCACATTTCAGAAAAAATGGGAGAAAGTCCAGAGAAGAGTGATAAAAATTATTAAGATTGAAATAAATGGGTTTGTTTAGTCTGGAGAAAAGAATCATAGAATATCAGGGTTGGAAGGGACTTCAGGAGGTCATCTATTCCAACCCCCTGCTCAAAGGGGAACCAATCCCCAGACAGATTTTTGCCCCAGATCCCTAAATGGCCCTTTCAAGGATTGAACTCACAACCCTGGGTTTAGCAGGCCAATGCTCAAACCACTGAGCTATCCCTTCCCCTGGTAAAAGACTGAGAGGGGACATGATAACAGTTTTCAAGTACATAAAAGGTTGTTACAAGGAGAGAGAAAAATTGTTCTTCTTAACCTCTGAGGATAGGACAAGAAACAATGGGCTTAAACTGCAGCCAGGGAAGTTTAGGTTGGACATTAGGAAAAACTTTCTACCTGTCAGGATGGTTAAACACTGGAATAAATTGCCCAGGGAGGTGGTGGAATCTCCATCATTGGAGAACTTAAGAGCAGGTTAGACAAACCCCTGTCAGCAATGGTCTAGATAATACTTAGTCCTGCCATGAGTGCAGGGGACTGGACTAGATGACCTTTCGAGGGCCCTTCCAGTCCTATGATTCTATTATTCTGATTCCATATAGGACACAGGTTTATAAACAAAAAAACTTACTGTTTTTTGAAAATGTAAAACGCTATGTAAGAACTGAATGGTTTTATCAGTCATCATGTTTCAAGGCATAAGCTAGGGTCACAAGGTATCCGTTTTTTGACTGGAACACCCGGTCGAAAAGGGACTCTGGTGGCTCCGGTCAGCACCGCCGACCGGACCATTAGAAGTCCAGTCGGTGGTGCTGCCTGGCTAAGGCAGGCTAGTCCCTACTTGTTCTGACACGGCGCTTTGTCCCGGAAGTGGCCAACATGTCTGGCTCCTAGGCAGGGGAGCCACAGGGCTCCGCACACTGCCCCCACCCCGAGCACCAGTTCTGCACTCCCACTGGCCAGTTTACAGCCAATGGGAGCTGGGGGAGCAGTGCCTGCCGGCAAGAGCACCGTGCAGCCACCTGCGTACCTCCGCCTAGGAGCTGGACTTGCTGCCGGCCGCTTCCAGGGCACAGTGCAGTCTGCGGTGCCAGGACAGGCAGGAAGCCTGCCTTAGCACCCCCGCTGCTCCGCTGACTGGGAGCCCCTGGAGGTGAGCCTGCGATTTGATCCCCTGCCCCAGCCCTGAGTCCCACTTAAACCTGGAGCCCCCTCCTGCACCCCAAACCCCTCATCCCTAGCCCCACCCCACAGCCTGCACCCCCATCCCAGAGCCCTCACCCCCCCGCATCCCAACCCCCTGCCCCAGCCCAGAGCCCCCTCCCACACCCTGAACCCCTCATCCCCAGCCCAGAGCCCTCACTCCCTCCCACACCTCAACCCCGTTCCTCAACCCGTAACACTCTCCCACACTCCGAATCCCTCGTCCCCACCCCCAAGCCTGGCGCCCCCTCCTGCACCCCAAACCCCTCATCCCCAGCCCAACCCTAGAGTCTGCACCCCCAGCTGGAGCCCTCACCCCCTCCCGCATCCCAACTCCCTGCCCCAGCCCAGTGAAAGTGAGTGAGGGTGGGGGAGAGCGAGCCGCAGAGGGAGGGGAAATGTAGTGAATGGGGGGTGGGGCCTCTGGGAAGGGGTGGGGCCTCAAGGAAGGGACGGGGCTAGGGTGTTCAGTTTTGTGCGATTAGAAAGTTGGTAACTCTAGCATAAGCTGATCACCAGCTGGGGATCAAGGAGAAATCCCTCCCCGCCATGTTATATTACATTGCACAAAACTCCAAGTGCAATAATGATGGTGGCAGTATAGGATTTGCCTTCTTTGAAAGAGTCGGTTAAAGGCCACATCTGGAGATAGGAGACAAACTGTTCTGATACAGGAATTCCAGTGTTCCTGTGCTAAGAGCCCTGGCTCTCTGGAACTGTCTTGGGATGAGATAAGTTTTTTGCACAAACAGGCCCACTCTCAGGCACCCCAAACACATCCTTGAGCAGTCACACTCCCCACCTCCACACACACACACGCCAAGCGTACACTCAAACATACACACACACACAGATGGCAGCCAGATGTGCACACACAAACACTGCCAGACACAGACATGCACTCACAGATGTTCCCTTGCATAGATGCCCACCCTATCGCCTTTGTTTGGTTGACAATCTGCTGACAGGGAACATTACAGAGGCTTCAGTTTGCCAGTGTTTGCAAATTTCCTTTTATGATGTGAGACGCTCTGTACTATCATATCTGGCAGCCTGGCCCAGACTGGCCTGTAGCAAGAGCTTGCCCTTTCACTTTGTTATTTTTTACTGTCTGGAACATGTTCATTCAACGGGATGGTAAACGCTGCTGCATCAGCAAAGCAAAGAATAACCCAC